TCCTCCATTCATTCATTCACCCGTTCCCACACCCGTTCATCAAGTGTTTTGCATGTCCCCAAAATGCAGGATTCTGTCTTTGGCAAGCTTATGTCACTCACTTCCCTCATGCACACATATTTGGTCCATATGTTTTCCAAATCTACCCTGAACCAGCCCTAGGCTAGGCAGTGTGGCAATCAGAGCATGCTACACACATGGCCCTGGCTTCACGGGGCTCACCGTTCTGTGCAGGGAGACTGCTAACAACCCAGTGGAGAAGTGAGGAGATAAAAGACATGATCTTGAGGAGTAACTAAACGTTGTGAAGACGGTAAGTCAGAGAGATTGCTGAAGACATTGGGCATGGGGGAAATGCTTCAGAGGCTGGAGAAGGACAGGGAAAACCCTTGGAGGAAATGACTTTGGTGGGCAAAGAAGTGGGAGTGGAGACAGGAGCAGCTACTACAGAATTTGCAGCGCTCAGGGGAGTCCTTTGTTGAAAACTTTGTTAAGGATTTCAAGCTGCTAACAGCAAAGCATCAAACCAGCATGAGGTCCCCTCTAAGCCAAGACACACCTCTGAGGTGGTGTGGGCAGTCTGGGGTGGAGGGTAGGGAGAAAAAGAACATTCCAGTTCAAAGGGAGCAGCAAGTGCAAAGGTCCAGAATGGGAACAGGACTGTGAAAAGTCCGGGGGTGGTGAGGACACTGCAGGAAGAAGGCGCCTGTGAAGGCTGCTTCAAAAAGAGCTTTCTCCCAAACTGCAGGCTTCGACACGTTTTCCATCCAGGTCTCCCCAGAGGTCCAGTGAGCAGCCTGGCAGGAAGAGGCCAGCGGGGGAGGTGGCCTTCTGGGGCAGAGCATAGAGGTTCCTTCTTAAGGCGGAAGCCCCAGAAAGCTGGGCAGATCCACAAACATAAGTCACTGCTCTACTGTGGTCTCCACATGAGTGCAAGCCTTGGAATAAATACTCGAGGCTTATTCTCTCAGGCCTTAGTTTTCCATCTTGGAAAGGGAGAAAGGGTTGGATCAGCACTGGCAGGGCTAGACCAGGACCTTAGTCCCTGCTTCTGTTTGGCACCTCACTTTCTTACCCAGGCTGCGGTACAGTAGCACGATCGCAGCTCACTGCAACATCTAACTCCTGGGCTCAAGCAATCCTCCTGCCTCAGCCTCCTGAGTAGTTGGGACTACAAGTGCCTGCCACCACAACTGGCTAATTTTTTATTTTTTTTATTTATTTTTGAGACAGAGTGTTACTTTGTCAATGTTGGTAGAGTGCTGTGACATCATAGTTCACAGCAACCTCAAACTCCTGGCCTCAAGCAATCCTCTTGCCTCAGCCTCCTGAGTAGCTGGGACTATAGGAGTCTGCCACAACATCCAGCTTTTTTTTTTTTCTTTTCAAGAGACAAGGTCTTGCTCTTGCTCAGGCTGATCTCAAACTCCTGAGCTCAAACAATCCAGCTACCTTGGCCTCCCAGAATGCTAGGATTACAGGTGTGGGCCACTGCACCTGGCATAATTTTTTAAAAAGTAAATTTAGGGACGGCGCCTGTGGCTCAGTGGGTAGGGCACCAGCCCCATATACTGAGGGCTGAGGGTTTGAACCCAGCCCCAGCCAAATTGCAAAAAAATAGCCAGGCGTTGTGGCAGGCGCCTGTAGTCCCAGCTACTCGGGAGGCTGAGGCAAGAGAATCACCTAAGCCTACAAGTTGGAGGTTGCTGTGCGCTGTGATGCCACAGCACTCTACTGAGGGCAATAAAGGGAGACTCTGTCTCTAAACAATAATAAAAATAATAATGTCAGAGTGGAATCTTGCCATGTTACCCAAACTGGTCTCAAACTCCTGGCCTCAAGTCCTCCTCGTTTCTCAGCCTCCCATAGTGCTGGGATTACAGGCATGAGCTGCCTTTCTTGGCCGTAAGTGGGACTCTTGTTCACCATACTGGCTTTCTTGAGTCAGCTTCATTTCCTCAACCCTCCATCGGGCTGTGGGTAAGTCCCTGGCCAGCCTACCTACACAGCTATTAAATGTATGGGAGGCTATGGTTTCAGACTGGGCTCCTGTCCCAGGTCCAGCAGACCAGACCAAAAGGTATAATCATGCCAAGTGTCACATAATCAAATTGAACTTTGAAACTGACCAGTTTCCCAAAAGAACAGGAGATTCACAGCAACTAATCAGGAGTCCAGTTTACCTAAGCTGGTTTGATAAGGATGTCACCTCTATTTTAACCTTGCAAGGAAAGTCACTCTGAAATCATGGACCAGCTCTTCTTCCCCTGTTTCTGCTTCCGTCAGCCCGGTTCTGTCTATAAAGCCAGGCCCCTGCTCAGCTCACTGGAACAGCCACTCTGTTTTACAGAATGAAGTCTTGCTCTATTCTAGAACCTCAAATGAAAACCAATCAGATCTTTAAACAGCTGGGCACACTCAGCGTCTGTAGTTCAGCAGCTAAGGCACCAGCCACATACACCGGAGCTGGCGGGTTTGAACCCAGGCCAGGCCTGCCAAACAACAGTAACTACAACTAAAAAATAGCCAGGCATTGTGGTTGGCACCTGTAGTCCCAGTTGCTTGGGAGGCTGAGACAAAAGAATAGCGTAAGCCCAAGAGTTTGACGTTTCTGTGAACTGTGACACCACAGCACTGTACCCATGTTGATATAGTGAGACTCTGTCCCCCCCCAAAAAATTAAAATTAAAAATAAATAACTAAACAGCCTGGTGAGCATGGTGGCTCACACCTGTAATCCTAGCACTCTGGAGGCCAAGGCAGACAGGTTGCCTTGAGCTGATGGGTTCCAGACAAGCCTGAGCAAGAGGAAGACCCCATCTCTAAAAATAGCCAGATGTTGGTAGGTGGTCTTTTTCTTCTCTCTGCTCTCCCATATTTCCCAAGAAAACCTAGAACTGCTGTTTTTTCCATTTATAATTTAGGGATAGAGGAGGAGAAGGTGGATAACACCACCGATTTTAAAAAACCAAAGCCACTGACTGCACCCCCTAGGTTAGTCCCACCTGTTATGAACCTATAGTATTCCAACAAACAGATTGATGGAGACAGAGTATTTGAGTTTCTGCTTTTTAGGCATCATGGGGGAAGGCTTGTTTTTAGTCATTACCTGTTACCTGCTGAATGAATGAATGTCTCTTTGGGAGGGAAGGAGGACCATCATCACTAGTGGCCCTTGCCACTCTGGGCTCATTTCAGCTTAAATTATAACTATTACCCACAAGGTCATCTTTCCTAAGTAGCCTGAGATCTTCTAACAAGACAACTTCCTGACATGGGGCCTCATATACAGAGGGCACCCACTTTTTTTTTTTTTTTTTTGAGAATGGAATCTTACTTTGGCACCCTGGGTAAAGTTCTGTGGCATCATAGCTCACGGCAACCTCAAACTCCTGAGCTCAGGTGATTCTCTTGCCTCAGCCTCCTGAGTAGCTGGGATGACAGGCACCCACTACAACACCCAGCTATTTCTTGGAGATGGGATTTTACTCTTGCTCAGGCTGGTCTTAAACTCCTGAGCTCAAGCAGTCCACCCGCCTTGGCCTCCCAGAGTGCTAGGATTACAGGCATGAGCCACAGGTGCTGCCCAGGCTGCCTACATTTTAAGAGAAAAAAACTATGCCTGTCACCTGGTGACACTAGCATTCATTTGATTAACACCATCTTTTGTATAATTCAATTCAACTTCAAAAAGTAACACATAGATAACATCTCTTAAAGTGTGTATTAATTTTTTGGCACCTGTGGTGTATATGAGGTTCAACAATTAAGTTCAAAACTCATCCTAGGAAAGAGTGCCACCTACCTCGCTGATGAGTATCACTACCGTCACCTTTCCGGTGCTCCCGTGGGCGGCTCTGCACCGATGCCAGCACCTGGCCCACCCTTCAAAGCCATTTGAAACTCTTTCTGGAAGGGCCATCAGAGCTGTCATCGTATGAAGGTCTGATGATGAAGTCTGCAGTCTTGCCACTGTGCACTTACATTGGCAGCACCGCACAAAGGGTTCACAACCTTAGTATGTCAGCGTCTCACCGCTGAGTTTGTGTCAACACACAGCAGTGTCTTGCTGAGTAGTGTTCATTATTATTGTTGCAGATTTTTGTGCACCATTTGACGATAGTTCTGCTGGTCATTCCAGAAAAAGAGTTCCAAAATGGCTTTGAAGGGTGGACCAGGTGCTGGCATTGGTGCAGAGCTTCCCAAGAGGAGTACTTCAAAGGTGACTGTAGTGATATTCAGTGCATAGTATTTTTTCTAGGATGAGTTTATAAACTTTATTGTCAAACCTCTATGTATGTGTATCAATATAGATATATAGGGATAGATATTCAGTATATACTGATAACATTTGTTATCTTGTATATTGTATGTTTTATCTCTAGTAACTGAAGAAATGAAACACAATGAGTATTACAATTTAATACAGTTTTTCCTTTCTTCCTTAAAATGTGTATACATCAGTTGGGCGTGGCGGCTCGTGCCTATCATCCCAGCACTCTGGGAGGCCGAGGTGAGTGGATTGCTTGAGCTCTGGAGTTCAAGACCAGCCTGAGCAAGAGCGAGACCCTGTCTCTAGTAAAAATAGAAAAACTGAGACAAGACGATCACTTGAGCCCAAGAGCTTGAGGTTGCTGTGAGCTATGACACCACAGCACTCTACTCAGTGTGCCAGAATGAGACTGTCTTAAAAAAAAGTGTATACTTTTTTTGGCACCCTTTGTGTGTCTGTACGCACACACACACACAATAGATGGTCAGATTTTGAAAAGAAGGAAGGAAAGAAAGAGGAAAGGCTCATGTCCTCTGCTTTTTCACATGGTCTTCCTTAAAGTGTTGGCAACAGCAGATGGCTCACCTGAGCAGAAAAGGAGATGGGAAGGGGGCAGGCCCCACCCTGACCCTGTGGCCCCTGGTTACAAGGAGAAAGCACACCTTACCTCATTGTAGGGATGCGGGTGTCAGGTTCACCCGTGGTCAGAGGCACCTCCAGGGTCACTGTCCCTAGGCTGGCCCGGCTGCCCTTCCGGGAAGACTCACGAAATGAGCCAGTACCAGGGTCCTCATCGGAGGAGTAGTCATCAAACGAGCCCAGGATGAAGTTGGTCATCAGCTGCTTCTTGATGTTCGCCTGCTTCTTGTCTTCTTTGGAGGGGGATCGAGCTCGCTGGCCCTGGGGCTGGGGTAGGGAGGACAGACCATTGGTATCCGGGGCTTCCGGGCCTTCACTCTCTGCGCCATTGGATTGGAGTCCTGGGGAAGGTGATGCATCAGTGGAAGAAAGGGGGTTTCTTGGAGGCTTCTGGTGTGAGGGTGGCAAGGAGTTTCTCCGCTGACAGGCATCTTTGGGGCCTCTGCGGGAGACTGGCTCTGCCTGCTGGGGAGTCTTCGGCAGAGAGCTGCCATCGCCATTCTTCTGCGGTGGCTCCCCAAAGCTGTCTGAGGCTGGGAAGGGCTCCTGGCTCTGGGTGGAGCTCACTTCTGATTTACTCTTAGTGACTGGCTGTGAGTCTGTCATTTTGCGCCAGATTCTTAACCAGGAAAAGGTCAGGCAGGAGAAAATCAGACAAGATACAAAAAGAAGTAATACCATTCAGAAACTCTGTAAGGAGAAAAAGAGAGGCATTTTAGGGTCAACGTAATCCAGTTATTTCTCTCCTAAAGGAGTGAGTGGGGTGAGAGGCCGGTGGGGTTCTGTGTGTTTTCAAAAGGCACAGGACAGAGAATGGAAATGAGATTCTCCTCCTAGCTCTACCCCGGTCTTGGACATGTTCCTCTGTCCCTCTGGATCTCGGTTTCCTATCTCTAATTTAGGTGTGCTCACACATGTTTAGCATAAATCATAAACATGTGTGGGAGAGAGAACTAAATGAGGTGATGCACGTGGAGGAGGGCTTTGTTCCAGCACTATCCCTCATAATGTCAAAACATGGAAACAAGGCCAGGCACAGGGGCTCGCGCCTGTAATCCCAGCGCTTTGGGAGGTGGAGGTGGGTGGATGGCCTGAGGTCAGGAGTTGGAGACTAGACTGAACGAGAACAAGACCTATCTCTACTGAAAATAGGAAAACTAGCCAGGTATGTAGCAGATACCTATAGTCCTAGCTACTTGAGAGGCTGAAGCAAGAGGATCGTTCGAGCCCAGGAGTTTGAGGGCTGTGAGCTATCATGCCACAGCACTCTACCCAGGACAACAGAGTGAGACTCTGTCTCAAAAAACAATAACAACAACAACAAAAGAAAACCATGCAAACAGCCCAAGTATTCATTCATTAACTGACAAATGGACAAACGGAATGTGTTCTATCCTACAGGGGAATGTTAGCCATAAAAGGATTGAAGCATGAACACACACCATGATGAGGATGAACCTCAAAATCTCGCTAAGTTAAAGCAGCCACTCGTGAAATGTCACATCTGATACGATTCCACATACTTGATAGATCCAGAGTAGGCAAATCTTAAGAGACAGAAAACAGATTAGTGGTAGCCTGGAGCTAGCAGGATGGGGGTAACGGCTAAAGGGTGCAGGGTTTCTGTTTGGGGTGATAACAATGTTCTAGAACTTATCGAGGTGAACGTTTCACAACTCTGTGAATATACTAAAAAACACTGACTTGCACTTCATGAGAGTGGATTGTACAGTGTGTGAATTATACCTCAATGAAGCCATTTTTAAAAGACTTAACTATATTCTACTTTATCAATATATGGGGACACAATTCATAATCGCAAAGATGTGCAAATGTCCCAAGTGTCCATCAATCCATGAACAGCTTGATAAACTGTGATATATGTATATACCACATGGAACATTAGTCAGCCATAAAAAAGATGGAGACTTCACATTGTTTGTATTTACCTGGATGGAGTTGGACAACATTCTCCTTAGTAAAATATCTCAAGAATGGAAAAGCAATCCTGCAATCCCATTACTGGGCATCTACCCAGAAGAAAAAAAAATCATTTTATCATAAGGACATTTGCACTAGACTGTTTATTGCAGCTCAATTTACAATTGCCAAAATGTGGAAACAACTTAAATGCCCACCAGTCCAGGAATGGATTAACAAGCCGTGGTACATGTGTACCATGGAATATGATTACATCTTTTGTATTAACCTGGATAGAGTTGGAACACATTCATCTCAGTAAAGTATCATAATAATGGAGAAGCAAGAATCCAATATATTCAATTCTAATATGAAGCCAATAGACAATCTAATATATACCCACATAAGTGAAAAATTCAAATCAACTCATGGTAGGAGGGCGGGAAAATGAGGGAAAGGGGATAGAGGAGGAGGGCGGGGAATGGGCAGTTAGTGTATGGCACATCTCTTGGGGCAGGACATAACTATAAGAGGGACTTTATCTAACAAATGCAGTGTAACCTAATTCTTTGTACCCTCAAAGAACCTGAAACAATTAAAAAAAATAAAGAAAATAATGGAAAAGCAACCATCCCATGTACTCCATACTAATTTGAAACTAGTAAGTGAACAACTATAGACCCACATGAGAGAAAGACACAATTAAATGCAAGAAGGATGGAGGGGGTTCCATAAGATCTCAGCTACCGGGTACTATGTAGGAGCATATGGCACACTCCCTGGGTGAAGGACTCAACTACAACTTGGATTTGACTTTATAAACTCCAACAATGTAGTCTAATCTTATGTACCTTCATATCAAAAATAAAAATAAATAAATAAATATAAGAGGATTGTTGCTTCTGCCATCATGATCATTATTATAGTAGATCATTGTCATTATCATGGCCCTGGGGGATAGAAGGGCACCCTGCCTTACAGGACCTGCACACCTAGCCCAGGGAATGCTTCCAATTTGAATAGATACTCTACAAGACCAGCTCTGGAACAGTGTCTGGTATGCAGTGAGGGCTTAACAAGTGTTTGTTCAATGAATGAATTTGGGTAGTCTGATTTTGAACCCACACCTCTTTCTGTCAATCACACCAATGCTACCCTATTAATGAGTATTTGAAGGAAATACTGTTTTAAAAATGGGGCCTGAACGTGTTGAAATTTCTAAACCAAATTTGCCACCATTATATGCCAAACGCATTACAAAACCAGGACCACAAAATTCAAGCCGATCGATTTAGTTTCTAAAAGGCTTTTTTCTTTTTAAATTTCAGCACAGTGTTCTTAAGGAAAATGGAGAAGTTCTCAAGATTTCCCAGAACTACCTGATCCGAGTACTTCTGCATACTTCCGGCAACAGAGCTTGCTGGTATGTTGGCAAGGGTGTTTTCTAGGTAATACGCAGGATCAGAAGGCTTTTTTTTTAGATCGTCAAGTATCTTTTCAAAGAAAAATCAAAGGTAGTTCAACGTCCATGTAACACAGTACAAAACAAAGGAAGAAAATCACGATTATTTCAACATACGCAGAGGAAGCATTTGACAAAATCCAACACCCTTTATGATAACAACATTCAGAAAATTACAAACAAAAGGGAACTTAAATATAATAAAGTGGATTTATGAAAAACCCACAGCTAACATCATACTTAATGGGAAAAGACTGATAGCTTTGCCTCTCTAAGATCAGGAACAAGGATGCTTTCACCAATGCTACTCACAACATTGTACTAGAAGTTCCAGCCAGAGGCATTAGATAACAAAAATAAATAAATAAATAAATTATTCTTCAGAGAGGAAGAAGTAAAGCCACCTCTATTTACAGATGATGTGATCCAATATATAGAATATCCCAAAGAACCACATACACACACACACACAACCTACTCCTGTAGAGATAATAAACAAATAGCAAAGTTGCAGGAAACAAGATAAACATGAAAAAAATCAGCTGTGTTTCTATACTCCAGGAGTAGACAATCTGAAAAAGAGATTAAGAAAACAATTCTACTTATAATAATATCCAAAAGAATAAAATGCCCAGGAATAAATTTAACCAAGGAGGTGAAAGACCTGTACACTGAAACACCACTGAAAAAATTAAAGACCACCTCTTCCTAAGCCAGTAGACTGCAAGGAGAAGGGCATGTTCAGTCCCAGAGCCAATGATTTCAAGTTGGGCATCTCCCAGGCTCTCTTGGAGCTGGAGATGAACTTGGACCTCAAAGCACAGCTCCAGTTGCTGAATATAACAGCAGCCAAGGAAACCGTAGTTAGTAGTGTTAGAAAGCTATCATAATCTTTGTTCTTGTTCCTCAACTGAAATCTTTACAGAAAATTCAAGTGCAGCTAGTATGTGAATTGAAGAAAAAGGAGCTTGTGGTCTTCATAGCTCAGAAGAGAATTCTGCCAAGTCACCTTGAAAAAGCCGTACAAAAAAATAAGCAAAAGCATCCCAGAAGCCACACTCTGACAGCATGAATGATGTGTCCTTTAGGACTTGGTCTTCACAAGTGAAATTGTGGGCAGGAGAATCCATATGAAGCTAGATGACAGCTGGCTCATAAAGGTGTCTTTGTAAAAATCACAGCAAAATAACATGGAGCACAAGGTTAAATTTTTTTTTTTTTTTTGGTGTCTATAAGAAGCTCATGACAAGGATGTTAATTTTGAATTCCCAGAGCTTCAGTTGTAAACAAAAATGACAGAAATAAAGTACATTCACAGTAAAAATGTTTAAAAAGAAATTAAAGATTTAAATAAATGGAAAGACATGGCACGCTCATGGATTGGAAGACTTATCGTTAAGATGGCCAGAATACTCAGAGAGATCTACAAATTACAATGAAATTGTAAGGGAGCCCAACCAGACTAAATAATCTTTAAGAAGAAAAAATTCGGAGGACTCAAGTTTCCTAATTTTAAAAGCCACAGTAAACAAAACAGGGTGGCACTTAAAAAAACCCATACATCTACGGCCAATTATTTTTTACAAGAATATCAAGACCATTCAACGGTGAAGGAATAGTCTTTTAAATACAGTGTGGTGGGATTACTGTATTTCTACATACAACAGAATTAAGGTGGACCCATACTTCATACCACATACAATAATTAACTCAAAAAAGATATCAGACCTAAATATAAGAGCTAAAATTATAGAACTCATAAAAGAAAACCTAGAGGTAAATCTTTATGATCATTTGGTAACGGCTTCTTAGATATGACACTCAGAGCATGAGCAACATAAGAAAAAATAAGTACATTTGACTTTATCGAAATTAAAAACTTTTGTGAATCATATGATGCTATCAAGAAAGTGAAAAGACAACCTACAGAATGGGAAAACTGTTTGCAAATCACATATATGATAAGAATCTAGTGTCCAGAATATATAAAGAACTCCTACAACTCAACAAAAGACAAACAACCCAATTAAAAAATTGGCAAAGGACATGAATAGACATTTCTCCAAAGAAGATTAAATAGTAGAGCCTCCATAGTTGACCACTTCCCTGTGTTGACCACCTCCTTAAGTTGACCTGATTTTCATAGACTGGACATGTACCACATATATGTATCAGTACGTAGGCCTACTTCCTTATGTTGACCGTCTCTGTATGTTGATCAGTTTGTTAAGTTCCTTCGGGTGGTCAGCTTACAGAGGTTCTACTATCACTAAGCACGTGGAAAGATATTCAACATCCTTAGTCATCA